AGCCCTGCAATGTATGGGATCAAACCTGCAATATTAGAAGGATTGCTTATAGAAAGAAATTTGCTGTGTAGGGAGATGGCAGAATGCACTGCACAGGAAGGAATAACTGGTGACCCCTGTGAATTGAAAGGAGGAACCCATAAGCAGCAGTGGTAGATCTCTTTGGAATTTCATGTCCTCAACATGGGCTACATAAAAGGGGAAGGTAAGACAAAAAGATTATAAGGAAAGGGAAAAGGTAAGATTGGCTTTTCAAAAATCTGTGCACCTGTTTCTGTTTTGAACATCAAAACAGGGATAAGGGATGGAAAGGACTAAAATAATGGATGAGCTTCTATGTTTTTTCTCTGGTAGGGTTTTATTATTATTATGTAAAACTCTAGATAAAAACCATGAAATTGATCCTCATGAGTTTTATACAGCAGATTTATCTTCTTCTCTTATACTTTGCTGTGAAATGCAACCTGCCTCAAGATTTGGAGCAGAATGAACTTGTCTTAAACTTGGCACTGTGGCTAGTACGTAATATGGGTAGCAACTCATTAATTAATGACTATTAACTGTCACAATTTATAGGGTTACACTTACATCAGCAAAAATGTCCAATAGAATTCTGACCCACAGGAAAAGTAGCACATCTTCACAGTGCAGTCAGTTGACTAAATACTGGTGGCATAGTTATACTGGTGTGAACCAGATCTGGTGCCAGAAGGAATCAATTTGAACGAATCAAAAGCGTCTTATTCCTATCAACACCTTTCAGGTTCCGTGGCTTCCTGGGGCTCCCTTTTGCCTCAAGAAAGCCTTTGGGAGACTCAGGATTGTGGGAAAGCCCTTAATAGCTTTTTTTAAAAAAATCTCTGCTGGATTCATGCTGGTGTTCCCAATTACAGCAGCAGTGATACAGTGATTTTTGATGATTAAAAGCTCTCTCCTCAAGTCTTGAAGCTCCCATACAAATACAAATCGCAAAAGACAGACAGCCCTAGGGAGCCTCAGAACCTGAAACTGGGGGACAGGAGGTTTTCAAATAATTCAAAATAATTATTTCTGGGATGCAGATCCTGTTTACACTGGCAGAACTACACCAACGTAACAGGAGAGACCCATGAAGTTGTATGTTCTGGTTTGTCTTTTTCTGTTGGCTGTATAGCTCAGTGAGTTAGGTATCTGGTGCAGAGCCAGAGGTTGGAAGTTCCATTTTCTGCTGCACTTCCCAGAAGAAGCAGCAGCCTGTATAGCTTGGGGCAAGCAGCACAGTCACAGAGTACCCCCAATGGAAAGGAGTCATGAATTGTTTATTAGAAAACCCTGGGGAGGGTTGCCATAAGTCAGAATTGACTTGATAACATGTTGTTCTGTTTTTCTAACACTGGTGATTTTTATGATGTCACTTGTAATCATTGATTTGGTTTTTGATTGACTTGTTGAATTTATAAGAACATCAACAAATATTACAGTCACAGAGTACCCCCAATGGAAAGGAGTCATGAATTGTTTATTAGAAAACCCTGGGGAGGGTTGCCATAAGTCAGAATTGACTTGATAACATGTTGTTCTGTTTTTCTAACACTGGTGATTTTTATGATGTCACTTGTAATCATTGATTTGGTTTTTGATTGACTTGTTGAATTTATAAGAACATCAACAAATATTTATTTATAAATTTATTTATTTATTTAATATATTTATTGCTATTTATTTCATTTAAAATATTTTTACCCTGCCTTTCTTCTTGAAAAGGACCCAATGCTACTTACAACAGTGAAATACAATATTTGATAATACTCTGACTGTTCAATACCTTTCCACAGCAAAACATACAAGGATGAGCAATGAACCATAAATGGATGAGCAGAGATGGGACCAGAGGAAGGAAGGATCAGCAAAGGTGGGACCAGAGGAAAGAAGGGGATCTGTGGGCTGGAATGCAACTCACATTGCATCCAGCATAAATAGTGAACTCCCAAATCAATTTGCAGCCCCTGTTTGAGCACTGATTGCTATTTCAAATGTAATACATGCTTAGAATCAAATGAATGCAACTCACATTGCATCCAGCATAAACAGTGAACTCCTAAATCCATTTGCAGCCCCTGTTTGAGCATTGATTGCTATTTCAAATGTAATACAGTACATGCTTAGAATCAAACTGAATTGTTCCAATTCAGCTTTACATTGTTATCACACAAATAAAACCTGCTTTGGGAGGAAAGGGGGCTGTACCAATTCAAACCAGCCCCTTGTGTCATGCAGTCAGTAAAATACTTTGAATTCATTTGTTTTATAAAATGGGGCAAATCTTGCAGTATTTTACTATGTAGTCACATTCTAACTAAGGGTCAGCAGAAGTAAGGGTAGAGCAATTACTACTGCTAGTGTAACCACTTGCCTTTAGGCAGGATGTAGGCTCCAATCAGACACATATTTGAGAAGGAGGCTTAACACTGGAACTTATATTTTGAAGGGGAAACACCTAGTTCAGTGAAGAGACACAATCAAACAATAGCAATCTGTCCTATTTCTCTGCTCTGCAGCAAAGGCTTGAAAAGAGGAAAGACCTCTGGCTCTCCCTTCAGGAGACAGAATATCCTCTGAAATATGCCCCAACCATGCCTCTACTTAGTTTCATATGCTTCTGAAGTGAATGTGAAAACATGCAAGAAAAAGTAGAAAGCGGCTGCTCCTCTACTTCAGGGATAATGTGAATCCACTCTAGAGTTTTTGTTTGTATATGAGGGGGTGCTGATACATTTGAGCCTTGCCCAGGAAAAAATGAGCTAGGAAGCTATAAATTGCAGGGTGTATTGGCCAATTTGTCTGTATTCAATTATGCAAAAATCAACTACTTATGATCTTTACTTATCTTTCATGGTCAGGTCCAAAGTGAAGATGACAGCACTTCCAGAAAAGTTTAACGTGGAAGAGCACAGGGCCATAATCAAGTATCTGTTTCTCCAAAGGAAAGTTGAAAAGCAGATCCATGATGAAATGTCACAAACTATGGGTGACAGTGGCCCTTCATATGCAGCAGTTAAACTGCTGGTTGTCGATTTTAAAACTGGCTATTTCAAAATATTACTGTGCTTTATTGACAAAGTTGAGGCAAAACATCGAGGAAAAACGTTGAGGAAAACTCTCCAAAGGTGTCATTCTTTTGCATGACAATGCCTCATCACACACTGCAGGCGAAACAATGCCAGAACTGACCTCCTTAGGCTTTCAAGTGATGCCCCATCCACCCTATTCTCCCGACCTGGTGCCTTCTGACTATTATCTGTTCCCTAAAATGAAAAAACACCTAAAGAGACAACGATTTGGGAGTGTTCTGGACGCAACTAATGCTGCAAATGAACGGTTGCACCAGCAGTCGGAAGAATTTTATTTGCAGAGACTTAAGAAGCTGCAGGACAGGTGTCGCAAGTGCATTGACTTCCTGGGAGAATATGTAGAACAGGGTGGCAGTTACCGCTTCCTAACTCAATTTTTTTCTGGGAAATGCTCAATACTTATCAGCACCCCTTCCTATAAGAGGAACCATCCAGAGTGCTGAACCCTCTGCTCAATATAGGTTCAGCACTTAGGCAAACATTCACAACACCCTTGACATCAGCTCCTACTGCTGCCTACTCACTTATCCTCTGCGCAGTTCAATAGAAAGCATTTCAGTACATGGAAGGAGCAGCTGTTGCATTTTGTCCTTTATTCATCGGCATTCCTTCCCTGGGCAGTACAGCCCCAATGAATCAAATCTTCCCTGCTGTGGGACAGCAGGGAGGATGTCATCCAGTGAGGCCATCGACACAGCCCAGAGTTTGGGGGTGGGGGCTGAGAGAGGGGAAGCAGCAAGTACACATTCCCTCCACGCAGTGGGTCCTGCTTCTCAGCAGCAAGGACTGGTCTCGCCTTGGTCGCTGGTGGCAGCCATGGATTGTGCACTTGCAATCTACCTGTTTGTATATTCAGTCTCTCTGCAGGATGGATGAATAGGACCATCAAGAGCAAGGAAAGGCTTAAATTATTTGTCTGTTTGTTTGTTTATTGAATTTGTATCCCGCACCATCTGTCAACCAGGCCACTTTGGGTGGCTAACAACAGTATGAGCAACAATATTAAAACACAGTAAAAAAATAAATGAATACATTAATAATTAATAAATTAATAATGTGGTAGCTTTCTGCACACTCAGCCTGCATCTGCTCTGGCACCTTTTCTCACTGGAAAAAGAAGCAAAAAGTGGTCATTCTTTGGAGGTAGAGCTGTCATTTCTCCGTGCTCTATTGTCCACCCTCTCTCTCTCTCTCTTTCTTTCCCTCCTGTGGAGGACTTGCCCGGTTGGGCCCTAGTCTCCGCAGCCATGCCAGCCTCCTATCATGTCCTGCATTTTGGGTACCACCTCACTGAATGAAGAGTTTGGGTGAACTCAAATGCCGGCACATTCCCACGACACTTCTGCTGCTCGGGATAAAGGCATTGTCCAACTGTGGATTTGGTGGGGATGCTTGCCATGGACCTGTAGAGGGTTTTGTGAGAGGAAACAGCAAGGGCGGAGGAGGCGGGCGGGGAGGGGGACTCAATTCAACCTTCTCTGCCGGGCTGCCCAGCAACTTTCTCTCTTCCTCTCCTTCCTTGTGTGTCTGTCCTGTGTGCCATTCCCTCCTTGCCAATGATTGGTGCCCAGGGAGGGTGAACGAGAGGAGTGAAATAAGAAGAGCCATTGCCTTCCTCTGGCAAACCGCCTTCCCTCCCCACACTCAGAAGTGGGACAACTTGTCGTGAGAAGACGGGTTGAGAGGAGGGAGGGCCGGCGGTGGGTGGGTGGGCTCACGGACGGAGGAGCTCTTCTGCCCTCCTTCTTTAACCTTTACTCCAAGGGCAGCGGAGAGGAGGAACGGCTGCTCTTGTACTGTTGCGCACCCCCTCTCTGCACCCAGTCGGGTGCTTTTCCTTCAAAATAGAATTGGCCGCGCTGAGCCCCCTTTTCCTCAAATACTGTACGTGTTTCACGTCATGTAACGGCGAGGTCCCTTCGGTGTGGGGCGGGCTGGGAGTGCTTCAGGGGAGGCTGCGTGGGGCACTGGCGGAGCCACCGGGCAGGTGTGGGTCTCAGCTGTGGCAGGGGCGGAGCTGCTTTTTTGGCGGGGGCTCCTGCCTCTCCTCCGAGCGGGCTCTCTCTCGCGCGCGAGCGCCTTTGTGTTGGCGCGGCTGAGGGGAGCGAGCGAGCGAGCCAGCCAGCGAGCCGGGACTCTTTCAGCAGCGAGCGGAGCAGCCACTGAGCAGCGGGCGCCGAGCTTTAAATGAGCATTAAGATCGCGCGGGGAGAGCGGCGGCAGCGGCGTGGGCTGGCTCGGACGGAGCGCGCGTGTGGAGGAAGGAGGCAGCGAGCGCGTCCCCTCGGCTCCAGCGGCGGCAGCGGCAGCGGCAGCAGGTCGGTCGGGCGCTGGAGCGGAAGGCTGGCGGGAAGGGGCAGAAGTGCGGGG